AGCAATCGTAACTTCGTGAATAATGAAAGATGAATATTAATAGTAGATAAGCTTATATTTATAATATATAAATAAGCATTTATTAATAATCTTGTGCAATTTAATAAACCAACTATAAACCAAATAATTCATTCAACATCTTTGTCATCATTTTCGTAGTGAAAACATACACAACAAGGTGCAAACCATCGTAAAAAAAATTATGATTAAGTCATAAAAATGGATTTTATTGATATAAAACATTGCTTAATTAATTTATCATAATCTATAATTTATTTTAATAATTATAAGTCTTAATTTTTATAAAAACGTTAGTTCGTATTATATTTTTAATCTTTCTAAATCACGAATGATAATTTATTCCATATCTATCAATAATTATATTGATAATTTTATTATGATTTCTACAAATAATACATTTTTATAGTGAAATGAGTTCATCGAAATATTGAATCCCATGAATGCAATAATAATTTACATCAACTGTTCTAGTAATTATATTATTTTCATACATTTTAAACCAATGATATTTAGATGAAAAAAAAAATTATTGAATTATTTTTATTCACATAAATTATACAGTTTCCCTTCTGCATTTGATTCATTCTAAAATAATTAAAATTACAACTACGGCCATCGGTTGATTACCGTTTGAGTACTAATTATTCATGTCACTGCTAAAGTGAAAACTATTTGTATCTAGAGGTATATAATAATTACGAAGCTATAGGATAAATTTTCGATTCAGCTAGTTGATATTAAAATAATTTTCGTATTAAATAACTAAGAAAAACGTGATAAAAAAAATATATATTTCAAACATGATTTTTACATGTATACGTACAAACATAACAAAGGTTTTTGTTCCATTAGTAATCTCGCCTTCACTATGCGTCTTTTTCCAGATGATGTTTTATCATCAACCGCCTCAGATAAACAGTTTTTTTCACCTACACGATTTTCACCCAGTACCATTTATAAGGGAAATTAAATGTCTCACATAGATTTAAACTTTCTTTTTGTCACATAACTCACAGCCCTATTGAATCCACAACTTTAACTTTTTAATTCAGGCCAACATCTCGAAACGTGAAGGTTAAACTTTTGTTTTTAAAAATATTACAAAATATATAAGCAATATACAATATTTGTTATAAAATCGTATTTTAATTACCTGATATGCATTGTATAACTTTTTTTTCTTCTGACTTTATGAATTGCGTACTATTATCTGAAATAAAATAAAACATATAATTATAGTCGATTATAGTTATCAGTGATAATTTATCACCGTAAGGTATAGAGCAATGGAATACGCAACACAAATTGTGTTATTGTTGGACCCTACAATATTGTTATGCGTAAATTATCAATTGATTTTTCCATCACCCTTAACGCATATCTACATGCTCTGTTAATTGTTGTATTAATTCAGTGAAAGTAAATAAGAAAAATTAGCAGGAAATAACACATTCTTTAAAAAATATATTATTCTATTATTTTAATTTATATTATCTATTACACATATTGCCATATAACTACCATCCGTCTCTCCTTTGACACCTAAACATTATATAATAGTAATTGAATAATTTTTTGTTTGTGTATTTATTTTTTGTTACTTAATTCTTTTTACCGATGATAACATTTATAATATATTAATATAATTGTATGGAAAACACATTTGAAAATTAAATGTACATATTTCACATTAAAAAAAAAAAAAATATTTGAAATATTGGTCATAGAAAGAAAAAATGTAAAAAAAAATATTTTTTAGTTTATTTTTATATTTTTGTGATAAATAATAAATAAATAAAGGCTTTGACGGCGGCGGCGAAGACTCTTGGAGAGTCATAAAGCCAAGAAGAAGAAGAAGAAGTGATAAATAATCACAAAAATCTAAATTGTTTTAATTAGTGTCTTTATAAGCGTTATTCTTATGGTAACAAAAAGCTTCAAGTGCAGGAAAAATTTGTAAAAAATCAATAAATAAGATAGTCAAAAAAATTTACTCTTAAAAGAAAACGATATTAGTTAATCATAACCAAATTGTATTTGTTTAAATATATAATGAAAGAAATAATTACAAGATAATCTACATAAATTAAATTTTGATAAATAAAATAAAATTTCTATAACTATTCTCTAATCAGTGTTACAAATTTATTCCAGGAAATTTTGACAGTGAAATCTAATTAATGTATAATTTGAACAAATCTATTTTAAATGCTTTTAATAAAGTTATATAACAACAGTATTTGATAACCACTTAAAACGAAATATGTGTGTTAATTATTTGACTTAATTAACAAGTAGAATATTACAAGTTATATATTTACATTAAATTATATTTAAGTCCTAAGTAAGTGTTTGTAAAGAAGCTTATAGCAGTAATGTTTATAAAAAATACCATAAAAAAAATTAAAATTAACTTGGCTTATGATTATTTGCTATGGTTATTTTTAACTGGTTATATACCCATTTATGTAACACAAAAAAAATGTTAGATAAATATATAAATGTATTTAGGAATATAAAACTAAATTTGTTTTCCTTAGTATTGGGACATCGTTGAAATCAGCTACAAGACATGAAATTATAATGAATATACTGYCCGTTAGCCAATAAGCAGGATTGTGAGAACAAAAACAATTTTTTTAAATATTTTAAGAAAAAACAAAAATATATCATATAATTAAATAGAATAATAAATTTAACTAATAGATTTTATAATTAGAACATCTGAATAAAATATTATGTATAGTATGTTATACTAGCACAATATTATGTAGTGCGCGGATTACCGTAAATTTAACGAATACTGTATATAAGGTATATGCAATCTACCGCAAATAAAGAGTTTGACAATTATAAAAATAATAATATTTTCAATATCCAGTTATGAAAAAAAACTTAGATATACAAATTAAATAGAAAATAGCACAATAGTTGTAAATTTGGTAAATTTAAAGAACGAAGTGTGTGGTGTGTGTGACGTTACATACATTTAGTGAACTACTTGCACTATATAAGCTATACGTATAAATTTATGGTCATAAGCAAATGTTCGTAACGCAATTAATATCTTACAGTTGAAACTGGGCACAAAACTACATAACGTGACTTCGTAAAAAATTAAGTAGATACTCAATTACACGCGCTGATGTGTGGGGAGGATAGAACTGACTTTTGGCATGTGTGGATACCTACCCACGTAACCGTCAATCACTGTGATAACTTCGTCGAATCTGAAACAGGAACACACAAACGCAGGAATGGATGTACGTGAAGGCCCTTAATAGGATTAAAATCGTATAAACTGTATGTGAAACAAGTGAAAAACTCCACAGATTCCTCATGTGCACATTATATTAAATAAATAAAATTTGATTAGTAATGAGTACTTTAAAACTACTAATTACTAATGAATGATTCAGATACACGTCATGGAGTTTGATGGAGAAGTTTAAACTAAAATTATTCACTCTTGAATCATTTTTTAGAGTTATTATTGTTATATACAATTTCATTTAGTTTAAAAGTAATAAACATTTAAAAAAAATGATATATCTTTATCTAATTTAGTTTCCAAATATATGTATAAGTACATATATATTTAAGATACGTAATGCACTATAACTTGTAAAAGGTATGTTCAGTGGGATTGTATAACGTATACAGCGTAGCCGACGCCTCCGAGTTGGGGAAAACAATTAATTTTCCATGCTGTGACGTAAACTATTTCTTAATATACTATATACCTTTCTTGGCAAATTTGAATCATTAGATTTTAATAATGGTAACCTTTTTCTAAACAGATAGGAAAATGTTTGATCATATTGTAGGACCTGTTCTTTTTTAAAAATATTTAAAAATACTGCTTCTAATTCATTATATCATTATTATTATCAAAAGATTAATAAACAATCATGTTTTAGTTTAAATTAGATAGGTTGATATACAATATTTGTTACATTGTCTTAAATAAAAAAAATCATGAAACCTATACCAATATTATCATTAAAATATATTTATAATAAAGCATGCATGCATTTTCGTAGTTCTATAATACTCGTGTAAAGATAAGTTATGMTGTGGGGAAAAATGAAACCTTACTACAAAAGTTTTAATCATAGCGTCTCATTCAGTAAAACTTTTAATTATTTTTCGTGGCAGTATTCCATTATTTTTTTTGAAATTCATTAACCAGTTACAAATGCTTTTTTATAATTTTTTTCTATAAGAGAAAAAATTATTCAACATTTTTAAATTTTCAATACAAAAATGAAAAAAATTTTCTCAAACTCTAATTAACAAAAAAATTATATAATGAACTTAAATATCTTGATGTTTAACATATACAACTAACAACTTACTTAGTCTCGCCTTTTTAAATTGACAAAAATTAGCAGTCACATGCGTCTGTTACTATAAATAATTTTTACATTTAACAATAAACTAAAAAAAAAAAATACTAATCTATTTGTTAAATGGTTTTTAATTATTTATTCATAAAACGAAACAGTAATGAACTACCATGTGATGGTATGTAAATTATAATAATAATATATTATAGTGCGTAGTTACCTTCCAAGTGTTACATTACAGCTAAGCGCTAGAAAGTATTTATGTATAATAAGCTGATCCCCTTGCTCTTCGCAGCCCGTTAAAGTTAACAGTTATTAGATGTATTGAATTATTTCTTGAAAGTATTCTTATTTGTCAATTAAATACTGGATATTTAAAAAAATAAAAAGTAGTTATTTGTCAAATACATAAACACCCAATCAAATTTTACGTTAAAAATTCTAATTATTTTTATTTATTATAACTTTTATTCGACTGAATGTCCAATTTAAACAGCAAATTAAAATCTGTTTTTTTTTTAATATCTATTGTAAGCCTCTTTAAGTTTAAAACACAATGTTAATCCCTGTAATAAATTAAGCTTCAATTTTTTGAAAGGTTAATTGTATTATATATTTTTCACTATGTACACACGCACACACATATATAAATATAAATCTTAGAATTGATCGTTTAAAGTATATAGTTCAAAAAACGTCTTATAAACATCACAACAAGCCAAGTGCGACTTTTGAATGAGATGATTTACTCAAATTTTGAACATAAAAATAAAAATTATATAAAATTGTGCAGTTTTACATCAATATCATTTGTACGGTTTTTTTTTTATTTATTATAGTATTGTATACCAATATCAATATCCATAAGAACTACGTAAGTACCGAGGTAAGTACCTTCTTATATAATTGGTATAATCCCTGTATAATAATATGAAGACCTTATATTTCTACAATAGCGAGTTTAACATTAGATGTAAGCAAATTTGCTGTCTACATGACGTCTGCTATACAGCTATAATTATTAATAAAAAAAATATGTATAAACACATTCGCATATTTGTTGTAAAATCGAGTGATGTAAGAAAATTCACTGTATTGATTATAATTGTTTTAAACACTAGTCTATTTATAGATCGTAATAACATTATCGTGTGCGAATTATGATAATTAATAACGAATTTGACGACCGTTGCCTTGAGTCTATATACCACATTATATTTTTATACACATACTTATACCTACTACTGATACTATCTACCGTAAAATTTGTACCTATGCATATGCGTGCATGAGTGTTATTTCACAAAACTTCACGCACTATATGAACATACCATAATATTTTGTACTTGTACAACCATATGAGTGTACTCATTTACTGTTCATGTTTCCACGCGGTGGTATGGTATACTCGGAGATTTTAAATGTAGATGTCACGAAGTGTTTTTAAAATTAGATAGGTATTATTGGGTGGCAGTATTGTGATAAATAGTACTCCCCAGACTATAGTTTTTTTTGTGGTGAAAAAAAAAGTTACTATTTGGTTCATATCGGTGATTAATCATATCAATATACAACGCAAAACTATTTTGGTACCATTATTGTTTAATGTAATATCCGATTTTTAAGTAAGAAACGCTAACGGCATGGTTAATATTTATTTCGTTTTGATCATTATTCTCTCGGCCCGTGTCCTAACATTATTCTCTGTAATGCCACAATGGGAAACGTCAAAAATTAAATTACAAAAGACAGAAATAAAAATGTATATTATATGTTGTCCAATATACGATCCAATGAACAATGAATCATCTCATTTTTATATCCTGCGGAGACGGGTTCGTTGAGTGCCGTCCTAGTATAT